TAGACAGCAGAAACCAATTTATTATATCAGCAGTGTGCTGCACGGAGCAGAGCTAAGGTATCCTATAGCTGAGAAAGCAGCACTAGCAGTTGTCACTTCGGCCAGGAAGTTAAGACCATATTTCCAGTCACACCCAATCATCGTCCTCACAGATCAACCCCTCCGGCAGATTCTGCAGAAACCAGAGTGCTCTGGAAGGTTAATTAGGTGGGCAGTAGAACTAGAGGAGTTTGAGATCACGTTTCAGTAGAGGTCGGCCATCCGAGCTCAAGCATTAGCAGATTTTGTTGTTGAATGCACCCCATGTCCCTCAACCTCTACTCCAGAACCCAATGAATGGGCCCTATATGTTGACGGGGCATCTAGTAGCAAAGGTTCAGGGGCTGGAGCTCTCTTGATAGGTCCAGACGGTTATCAAAGCGAACATGCTTTGAAGTTCAACTTTGATGCGACAAATAATATGGCTGAGTATGAAGCTCTGCTACTCGGCCTACAACTAGCATTAGAATTGAAGATCAGCGCAATTCAAGTGTACAGTGACTCCCAACTGGTGGTAAACCAGATCAACTCTATTTGCGAAGTCGTTGATCCTGTGATGGTAAAGTATGTAGCCTTAGTGGCCGAGCTAAAGTGCAAATTTTAGAAATTCTGTCTGAGTAAAATCCCCAGAGCTGAGAACGAACAGGCAGATTCACTCTCCAAGTTTGCCTCTGATAGCTCTTTAAGCTCCAGATCTGTTTTTGTGGAAGTTTTAGATGAACCAAGCTTCACAAAGCCTCGAGTGATGGAGATTAGCACAAATCCTGACACGCCAAGCTGGACTGATTCAATTGTCTCCTTCTTACGAGACGGGATAGTGCCTGAGGACAGGCAAGAGGCAATGAAATTAAGGAAGAAAGCATCTCGGTATACACTTGTTAATGGAGTCCTGTATAAGAGATCTTTCTCACTTCCTCTCCTACGGTGTTTAAGTCCCTATGAAGCTGAATACGCACTTCGAGAGGTGCATGAGGGTGTCTGTGGGAGCCATGTAGGTGCTAGAACTCTGGCTCACAAAGTCTTAAGACAAGGATACTACTGGCCAAACATGTACAAAGATGCCACTCACTTTGTTCAAAAATGTCCGAAGTGCCAATTCTTCGCACATCTGACTCACCAACCTGCAGAAGAACTCACGACCTTGGTAGCACCATGGCCATTTGCACAGTAGGGATTAGATCTTTTGGGTCCATTCGTTAAAGGGGTTGGTGGCGTAACCCATCTGGTTGTTGGTGTGGATTATTTCACAAAGTGGGTCGAAGCTCGGCCTTTATCTAGTCTTACCTCCAAGAAGGTTGAAGATTTCGTTTTCAGCTCGATCATCTGCAGATATGGGATCCCAAACTAGATTGTGGCTGATAATGGAACTCAATTCAATTGCTCCTCTTTTCGAGATTTCTGCTCCAGTTATGGGATCAAATTATAGTTCACCTCCGTTTATCACCCAGAATCCAACGGCATTGTTGAATTTGTTAACAAATGCATTCTGGAAGGTATAAAGCCGAGATTGGAACAGCATAAGGCCAAATGGGCAGACGAGCTCAACAACGTCCTCTGGGCATACAGAACCA